CTTGCCGTCCTCAGCGCGCGCCGCCGTGTCTGCGCCTGCCCCCTCAAGCGCCGCACGACGGCGGGGCGGTTGAGGTAAGCGGCGAGCATCAGCGCGGTGTGGCCGTCGCTGCTCTGCACGTTGAGCTCCGCGCCGTGCTGCAGCAGCAAATCGACCACCCGCTCGTAGCCTTGGACGGCGGCGATCATCAGCGCGGTGCCGCCGTTGCTGTCCTGCCGGTTGACATCTGCGCCGTGCCGGATCAGCAGCTCGACCACCCGCTCGTGGCCGATGAAGGCGGCGCCCATCAGCAGCGTGAGGCCGCTCAAGCCGCCTCTCTCGTTCGTCGCGTCGACCCGCCCGCCGCCTTCGAGCCACTCCAGCACTGCCGCCTCGTCGCCTCGCTCAGCAGCTGTCACGACCTCATCGGAGACTGCCGCGGCACCGCTCGGCGCCCGCTCCGCCGCAGCCGGCGAAAGATTACCCGGCCGCACCCGCACGCTCTCGCCGCCGCCCTCGAGCGCAACCGCGTACCGCCCGCCCTCAAAGCTCTGAGCCACGCCCCGCTGCCCGTTCAGCCCGGGGCGGGAAGAGAGCCCGCCGAGCACGACGCGCTGGCCGAGCAGCGGCGCTGGCTCGCTGCTTGGCTCGCCCGCGTGCACCATCGCGCCAGCGCGCGCGGGCACTGCGGCAACGACGCGGACAAGGCGACGGCTGTCTTTTGTTGCAGAAACGGCGAGAATTTCACGACAAAAGGCTCTCGCACACGCACGATTCACACGGCGAGAACTAACGGCTGGCGCTAGCCTGTGAGGAGGGCGTCCATGGACACCTCACACGACCCCACACACGGTCTTTAAGCGTTTACGTAAGACCGTTTAAGGAATCGGCGGCGGCCCAGGCAGCCTTAAACTGGGCCCGGGCGCCCGTTTTAAGCCGTTTAAGCCGCAGGCGCCCCAGGGCCCACCCTTTTAAGCCTAGGGGTCCCCTAAGCAGCGGAACACGGACGACGGAGTACCGAGTAGAAAACACACCGTTTATCACCCCCCCCCCCCCCCCACATACGTCGACGCGCCCCCTCTGCGAGCGTGGGAATGTGGAATGAGGATGATGTGTGCGGTGCCTAGGTGCGCACTTCTCGCATCCGCATTCCTCTCTCACCTCTCTCTCTCCAAAGATGGCCGATCCTCTCAAACTCTCACTCTATTTCCCGTGACGCAATCCCAGCCCCGGGCGTCCGGCTAGGCGCGGGATGGCCGACTCGCCGTTTATCGAGACGACGCCGGTAGTTCGGTTGGTGGAGTGCTCTGGCAGCCAGTCCGACTGGGAGAGCCACCTCACGGCGAGCTTGTCGAGCGGCGTCAGCGAGTCCTTGAAGGCGGCGGTCCTGAAGGCGGCGTGCAGCGGCGACGACTTTGGGCGAGGGAAGAGGCGGTACCATTCGTGGCTGGAGTGCATCTGCTCGTGCACCATCTGTGGCGGAGGAGGTGTGTGGGGTGAGGTGCGACACACGTTGGGCGAAGCGGGCGGGCGGGCGGGAGGGGGGGGGCGGTCCTCGAGTCAGCCTCGGAGTGCGCGCTCTCCTCTCACCCGCTCTCTGCGCGCTGACACTC